AAATAAACGAGTGCCACAAATAAAAGGCGTTCTGGACGCCAACATTTCTGGCGTAATACTAGGAAACGTCTAGCCTGAGCACAATCTGCTCCAACAATGTGGGGTCATGGCCATTCTTACAACCGTCCTGGGGATACCAGAGCAGATTTTGCTACAATAGCAAGCCAGGGAAAACATTACTGAGGAGTTCAGACTTCAGGCAGCTACAACGGTCTCCTTCTCACTTGCCGTCCCAACGGCATACCCACAGAGAAGTTATTCTCCAGGCCCACTTTCCTGACTGACGATGAGCGGTTGGTTATCCGGGGAACTACTCGAAGACAAAGATATTCTTTGGTCAGCGACGTACCTCCCTCCTGCACGATCTCTGTACGTAGAGACTCCGAGGGTAAGAGTCAAGCTACCCACAGCTGGCTCTTCATTATCAAGAATCATAATGAGGAATGAGTGGAAGTGTCACTACTGGCCCTGAAAAGGGCCATTATAAGTATTTACTTTGCCTAATTAACCATCAATCTTATCGGTTCTTTTTATCTTTTTTTATCACACGGGAGACCGTGGATGCGTTCCGTAGGCACTGGCCGTTTAATCTAAGTATTTAGATAATGCGTAGATAACTTATGAGTGTGAGAGAGATAACATGTCATACTTTTCACCCTGCACTCAAATGTCATCTAGGATACCGATATACTTGAAGACTGCTGGATCTTACGGAACGCACCCCGTGGTTCGATTCCTGGCCAGTGCGACTTTTCGGGCAAGTACCTCTGTGATTTTTCACATGTGCTTTTTCACCACGTAATGCTACTCGAGGAGGGTTTTAGGCGACCTTCTCGCAGCAAAATTGCCTAATTTCCTCCTACTCTCCTCCTTTAATTAGGTGGCCTCGCATCCCTTCCCTTGTCCCTTTCCCAAGTGCTACGTGCCCATAGTAGTGCCCTTATCAAAGGAGCCGGACGTAGAGCACTGTAATATAAAAAAAAAAAACTATATCATGTGATTGAATTTGCTACACACCGTTAGTAAATCGCCATAAAAGTCGTGTAGTAGCTGTTACGGAATAATAAGAGTTACGCTCACTGCTTTTTTCTCTCAGTATACCCGCTCGGCTCTGAGCATTCAATCAGGAATTACCGATCCTCTCCGAGGTCTCCACTGGGTAAACTTCACAGTGAAGCTATAAAGGAAAAATAAACTTGAGCAAACGGGACAGTCTCCAACGGGCAAGCGTCACGTACCAATATCCCTACCTTAGATCACCAAAACAACTAAGTCTGCAAAAAAAAAGGAGCTTTAGACACCAACGTCTCTGACGCTATACCAGGAGACGTTGGAAAAGAGCTCTACACTAAGCTCCAAAGCTTCGGACTTTGTAATTTTTCTTCTGATCAGTCTGGGTCTTCAACAGCAGGCCAGAGAAGATCACCCTGAGGTATCGAGGCAGTCACAATTGCTGTTAACTGCAGTCAAGAAAGAGCTTACTTAATGAGCTCACTGGTCCTTTTCAGGGTCATCTGACGTCGAACTACCTTGCCAACAAATATATTACAACTTAACAAAGTTGACAAAAAACAGCTCTTAGAATTCACAAAAGTTTTAACAATGCCTATACTCGCAAGAGGGTGAATTGGAAGGAAAACTTCAAATGCTTCGAATGTATCAAATTTTTGAGAAACTGACGCAGAAAATTTATCGAAATTGGAACAGCAGCCTCAAAATCGACAAATAAAGAATCCATTACGTGAGAGATCAGCTTTTCATTGTACCCTCACAGTAATCTCTTAAATCTTTCAGTTTTTTAAATAATTAGAAAATGTTTTGTATTTTTGTGGCAAGAGATGAGGCTCCATGACTTTTTTGCTCTGATGATAAAATTTTAGGATTGAAAAAAATTTTTGAACAAATTTTTATTTTGGCATTTTTTTTTTTTTTTTTTTTTTTTTTTTTGACTTTCTACACTTATTATTTGACGAAATAAACTGCTTGAACTCTAAACAAAAATAATTTTAAAAAGTAGTTTTTTGTTCCGAGAAATAGATAGAAAATTTTTAGCTGAAAACGTTTTACGTTACGTGTCAACGCATTACTGTGTTCCATTCAGTGAGTCTCGGGCGAAGCCGAGACAGGGGGGGGCGCTAGTAGTACATGTAAATACTATGTAGATCTGATTTTATGTTAAAACACGTACACAGGAGTAATTCTTCAAAAAAATCGCTAAAATGACATAAAAAAATTTTTTTTTAAAGGCACAGCCACGGAAAAATTAAAGGTCATTGCTTATTGAATCGTCTGACAAAAAAATTTTACGAGATGCCTGCCTCTAATTCTCCTGAAACTGTAATATGTTGTAGAACATAAAAAAATAAAAGACGAAATTTTTTGTATCAGTAAGGAAGGGTTTTAAAGGGGTGACAACAACTCTTAAAAATCACTCCTAAAAATGAATTTTTCTTAATATCGCTAAAAAAATTTAATATTTATACAATTCCAATGCCAAATTATTATCAAATGGCAGTTCTGTAATATATTTCGACCCTCAAAAGTTGCAACCCATTATTTTTTTAAGTATGAGTTTTTCTTTTTAGAATTTTTCAAATATTAAATTTTCAAAATCCCCTAATCCAAATTAGTACATACTTTTTGTGAAGAAAAAAATCTCTCAGAGTCCAAATCATTTCCAAGATTTTACAGTTTCATGAAAATTGGAGGCGGGCACCTTGTAAGGGTTCCTCGTCAGACCATAAATTAAAAAAAAAAAAAAAAACATCTATAAAAACATGACCTTAAATATTTTTTAAGCATACGATTTTTCAGAGGGTATGAGGAATACGAAAAACTTTGTTCCATAACTGTTCCTTTAAAAAAAATTTTTGGTTGCTTAGGGTTAAAATTTTTATACGCGTATAATCGATGGCTCCTATAACTTCAGGAAAATCTAACCACTGTTCAAAATTAAAACAAAGAATTAGGAAATTGAATTTAGTATTTTTAATTAAAATTTGTATATTTTCATGATACTCGTGAGTCACAGGAAAACGAACGTAGCGACTTCTAAATCTATTGATGGCTGTTACTACTCATTGGATGCTGAAAATTATTACCATCTCCTTTTCAATAAGAGCCTTCAGTTAAAAATCTTATAACAGATAAGACTTGTGATCGAGGATGAATTCCTATTTCGTGCACTGGTAGAAAGTTTTCGATCATTCGAATCAATATTAAAGCCACTCTCAGATGCATCCTGTAACAAGTTCTATTTATGTATACTTATTTTTACAAAGGTTATAAATATGTATAGCGATGAATGAGTACCCGTACATTTTTTAAAAATATTTCATTACCAATGTAAAACAGATCTGACGTATCTCTTACAAAAGTGTATCTCAATTTTAACTGTTATCTGGCTCCTCTCCGTTTTTACCTTTCATGATCGAGTCCTAATAAAACTGCAGCTACTCCAAGCATTTTTAAATGTTCTATTAATAATTAAATCAGTGTAATCACCCAACGAGCTATGAGTATTGATAGTATTGAATAAGTACGCTGCTTCATTCTAATAAAATTTATTAGTGTTTCGCTATGCTGTAACAAATTAAGACGCCATGTAAATCAACAATTTATCATAAATATATCTACTAAAAATGTGTACTTTTCTATACTGTATGCAAACACTTCCACTCAAGTAGAGTACGAGTTTTTTAAGTGACAGCAACGACGTTGAAATGATCACTACTCAGGATATTTTGCAAAAAAAAAAAAATAGACTTTAAACGACATTGATTTAACAAATGATAGTAATATTCCACACTAACACTTAACTACAGTTACAAAATTTTAACATTTTTTTACTGAATATAAAAATTTTCGCTCTATCTCTCTAATAGAGACAAAAAAGGAAAAAGTTACTCTAGAAACTCAAGTTATCGACCTTACAGAGCCATTTGCAAAAAACAAATCTTCCAATATTTTTTCCTATTTTTTTTAATTTTATCAAATTTTGAGATCATAAATCTATTTTACGAATATTTCTGAGTGTATCAATAAAATCAGGCCCAACTCCACCAAAAGTCACAAAGATTGAACATATTATCAATAAAGATTTGGCTATGAAAATCGACTTCACAAAAACTTGTATTAATTTAAACGTTAAATACTTACTAAAATTTGAATGATATATTTCATACATTAATTAAAAGCATACGAAATTTTTAAAGAATTATCAAAGCAAATGAATAATTCGAAAAATTGTAGTTTTCCTACCTGGTGGGGCATGTCGCCAGGGCAAGCGACAGGCCAAAGGAAAGTGAAAGGGAAATCGATTTTTCCACATAGTGTGCGGAAAAGGTATGTGGAAAAGGTTTTTTCCGCCCTCGGGTGGTTTTGATCTATGGTGGTATCCTACTTAGATGACATTTAAGTGCAAGAGAAAAAGTATGGCATATTATCTCTCTCACACTAGTAAGTTGTCTATACATTATCCAAATACTTAGATTAAACGGCTAGTTCTTACGGAATGCATCCTCAGTCAACTTTTTACACTCACTATCCGTTGAACTAGGTGGCGGCTATTTTGCCGTTTGACACCCTGGGACTTGTTTCAAAACAACCTAACTCGTTATCAATAATAGATATCTATAGCAAAAATACTTGGGATCTCCACGAATCATGAGTTTTCCCAATATTTGACAAATTGGCTTTGATTTCGCAATTTATACCCACCCACACGGCCCCAGCTCTTAGTCTGTAAGTATAAAGTATAATTACTCTAAATTAAGTAAACGTGAGCTCTTGAATTTCGCGTTTTTTGTGCTATCGAATCGCGCGCCATCTTTAACGGTTCAATTGGCGGGATTTCATTGTTTCTTGTCGTCTGCTTCAGAAAATTTAAGACCACAATATTCTCTCCCTCATTGTCAGTGCCATACAACATACTGTTGGCTTAAATTTTTTAATTTAATAATAATATTACTAAAAAAAATAAAAATTTGGTGACATGTATATCAAGTTTGCCCTAAATGAAGTTTATGCATGGATATAAAGAGAATATATAAATTTTTGTAATCATGTGTCTTCTATAACTTCCTTCAACGTGTGTTAGTTATATTTAACAGCCAGGTAAACAAATGTACATGTAATTTATTTTATACTATTGTTATTATTTGGAAAATATGTATCGTTGAGAAATGCAGTGTGTTGAATATACTAAAATAAAAGTATTTTATGAGCAGGTACTTACATTGCTTTGTTTTTTCTATTGTAGAGAAAGTAATTAGTTTTAGTTGAAAATAACTGAACAAACAATGAGTGACAGTGACTCTGACAGTGAATTGCTGGCTAGTCTCCTGTCATCAGCAGCAGAGGAAGATAGCAAGCCAGTAAAACCTAGTACTGTTACTGTTTCGGAGCAATCAAAACTTGATTCAGAACCAGATTCCGATGACGAGTTGCTGGCTACCCTCTTGGGAACAGACGACGACAATGGTGTTGCCAAAGCATCGCAAAAATCGACAGATACAGACGCCTCGACACTCTCAAAAACAAATTTTCTGAGAGAGTATAATTTCCTTGATGACACATCTGATGATGTTACAGAGCTGGCAAACAAAACGCAGACTCCTAAGAAGCAGAAAAAATCCACACTCGCTAATGACAATGCAGACTCATCCGATGAGGAAGACTCAAAGTACTTTGAACAGCAGCGTTACTCCGAATACGGTAAGGACATAAAACGCTTGATAAAGACTAAGGAATCTGAAAAAGAAGGCCTTAGTTCGAGTTTTACGAAAGAAAACAGCTACAGCAGCCCAGCTGCTAAAACATACAATCCACCCTTGAGTAACAGTTTCAAGACAAAAGCCAGCAGTAGTTCTCTATCCAACAGTTTCAGTGGTTTATCTGAAAAAAGCGACAAGTACAGTTTGCAGGCTGAAGCTTCTACCCCGGTTACGAAAGACGTGTACAGCGATCCGATATTTGGCTTAAGAATCGTAAAACCCCTAGTTTCGTCGGCAGACCTAGTTGAGAAGATGCAAGGACGAAAGCCCGTTACAGTCTCAGCGGTGAAGCAACACCTGTTGAATGTATCCTCAATCAGAGTTCAAGAAGACTGGGTGATTGGTGGCGTCATATTGAGCAAAAGCGCGACGAGAACGTCCGTAAAGGGCAGCCAATACTGCATTTGGAAGATATCCGACCTTTCGACGGAAATGAACACCGTCTCGGTGTTCATGTTCAGTGGTGCATACAAGTATCTCTGGAAATTGCCAACCGGAACCGCCGTCATCATACTCAATCCAACCATCCTGGAGAACAAAGATGGCAAGGATTTGGCCACACTATCCGTCGACAACGAGCGCAAGGTCATGGTTTTGGGCTCATCCAAAGACTTGAGCAAGTGCAGGTCGATGAAGAAAAACGGCGAGCCCTGCACGGCTCCTGTGAACCTGCGATTCGGCGAGTACTGCGTCTACCACGTCAAGCAGGAGTATGGCAAGTTCAGTAAGAGAACCGATATCCAGTCTCATGGACTGGGAAGGACGATCGGCCAGCTAGGTTCTTTGGGACAGGCAAAAAAGCCGCCTACTAGCTTATACCAGCAACGACATCCAGAGGCTCAACCTTTCGTGGCAGTGCTGGCAAAGAGGAACGAGGTCCAAGTTAAGAAAGATCGCGAGCGCTTGGCCATGCTTAGAGGCGACGCCAAAGCGCTGGAGCAGTGCAGAACACAAGCAAAAATGGAATCCATGGCAAACAAAAGACAGGTAAAATCGATCAGCGTTGAATTAACTGCTCATCAAACAAAAAAAGATCTAGAAAAATTGAATAAACTGCGTGGCTGGGGTTCCGAATATCTTTCTCCGGGGTCGCAGCTAGAGAAAAAGAGTACAGAGGCCAAAATGATGCTGTCGACCCCAAAATTGGGCAACGGAGCAAAGGGAGGCTTCATCGACTTTTCCGAGTCGACCCCCAAGAGTTACATACATAGAGCCAAGCTCAACGCCCTCGAGTACGTAAGGAAGAACGGCATGATCCAAAAACTGGATCCAAACCAGAGTCAGAAGAGCAAAGAAATTCTTAGAGAAAGAGGAATAAAGCGTAGAAGGGAAGAGGAAGCTGGCGAAGGAGAGACGATGGCAGAGAAGGTGGCGAAGAAGGAACTGGCTGTGAAAAACAGGTTTCAGGAAATGTTGGAGAAGAAGTCGGCGCACATGGATCTCGTCGAGAAACACGAGGATGAGGAGACTGAACTGTACTTTAGAAAGCAGTTGGCCAAGGAACGTATGGAGGAAAAGATGCTGACGACTTTCAAGATAGCGTGTAAGGCCGTGCAGTGCAAAATTTGTAAGTACACTGCGTTTTCTGGCTCTGATCTGTGCAAGAAGCTGCAACATCCCCTTAAGGTCTTCGACGCTGTCAAGAGATTCTTCAAGTGCGGCGAATGCGGCAACAGGACGGTAAGCTTGGACCGAATACCAATGGAGACTTGCAAAAGGTGCTCCAGTTCAAAGTGGTTGAGAGCTGCGATGATGGACGACAAGAAGACCCAGCTTCCAGGTTCGAAGTTGAGTATACGTGGTGCTGAGGAAAAATACATTGGAGCAACTGTTTCGGGAGATAGTCTTGATTTGCTGGTGCCGGAGAACGACTGATTAAGCTGTTTGTAAATTTTTTTTTCCCCCACGATCGAATGTTGAACACTCTTTCACGACGTCTATTAACGTGATTGTAACATACTGCTGTGATAGTATGATAATGTATAATTGTTTCCAATAATTATTTAAATATTCAATAGAAAAAAAAAGTTATATCATTTCTCTATAAAATGTTTCGTATGAATCACTATGAAATGTAATTGATTTTTCGAAGAAACTTAAGCGCAGAATTTACAAAAACGTTCAATTTTTATTCAACAATGAAACATTTTGATGTATTGTAGTAAAATAAAACAAATTTAACAAGTATTACTTACAATTTTACATGTGTTAAAAAAAAAGTAAAAATAAAAATAAAAAAGTAACAATAATCTAAGAAGATAAATTATAATATAGAAATGTTACTACAAACTACAATTATTTAAAATTCCAAGAATAGTTTTACTTTAAATATTTTCCATTTTTTTTAAGTTACGTAAGATCCTTCTTTTATGTAAAGTACTTTTAATGTTGTACACATGTTCAATAGCGATTAGTTCATTACATTTCGTCCGTGATTCTCTATACAACGAGAAATAGCGCCATAGACAAATCGACTAGCTTTGTCAAGACTGCTTTTTCAGCGCTACTGCTCCGTTGGAAAAAATTATACAAACGTTGAATTATTTTTCTTATTTTCGTTTTTCTTAGTTTTGAACAAATTTTTATTTTGGCATTTTTTTTTTTTTTGTTTTTTATTCAATTAAAAAGCACAGAAATCCAGAAAAAATTATTTGCTACCCGAAACAAGCTATTGCTGAATTTTGACGACAAAGAAGTATACATGTACAATACAGGACACAGAGCTTTCGTGCAAATATGAATTAAAAACTTTCTTTTAAAGTTATCCGCCAGTCGTCAGCGGCAATTTATCTAATTAAATATAAATTTGTAACGGCATCTTGTTTATGATTTTCCGTGTGTAACGAGTCTTAGAGCAGCCTCGACAACGAAGTTTAACGGTGCGAGATAGAAAAATGCGACGCAGCGAGTCGTCATAGTTGGTTCATCAACGTCATAGGCAGGCAGCAAGCTGGCTTTTTTTTTGTTTTTTTAATAAATTCATTTTGTTTCTATAATTTATGTTGTCACAGTCTTTTTCGTGTCGAGTCTCTGACTCACAAGTACACAGACTGGATTCATTTCATTAAACATTTGCTTCGTTAAAAACAACATACAGCACCAAAGAGTCTTTTCTTTCGATATATCAGAGTTTTAAGTTCCTACAGCACCACATTTTTCTCTTCCTCTCCCTTTCTAGTTGAGTACTTTTCAAAATTTTTGCTATAGAAAAAAATATAAGTATTTTTTTTTACGTTTATCTCTTCACTTTTTTCCTTTGATAGAAGAAAGAAGGAGAGAAAGAGACGAGTTTGGCGCATTTGTTTCAATATATTTATTCGGCGTTTCTTGGTTTCCACTATTAAAGGGCGTGTGTGTATGTTGATGCGTTGCTGCTTCTTTATTCCGTTTCCTCTTGTATGATAGTCATCGTTTCTGCGTTTACTTATTCCAGAAAATATCCAAACAGGAGTCTAATAAATTTAATAATCATCGTAGTCAAAGCTGTCGAACTCAGCCTCTTCCAACTGCATGCTCTGAAAGTCCACCTTGTACCGTAAAATACCTGTAAGAAAAAATGAAAGATATTACATTCCCATTAATAAACTGCCATGTATTTTACTGAACTATTCTCAACTACTAGAGGAAGAATTTCGCTTTGCAGTCTTACATTTTTAGTTACCTTTTCCAGTTAGCAAGCTGACAAAAAGGAATAACAATAATTAATCAGACTACGGAATCTTCCTCTTTATCGTTCATACAACTAGAGTTTTTTTAGCATTCTGAGCAATTAAAAATAACACATGACATCGACAAGTTAAGTAACATAATATATTTTATTAATTGATCGTTTTTTTTTTTTTTATAATGACTATGGCAGAGTTAATGCAAAATAATTAAGTAACTATTTTTCGTAGTAAGATGTCAAAATTGTACATAACACATCTAAAGAGCGGAAGTAAAAAAGTTTCAGATCGTTATATCACCCATTTTAGTAAAGAAGGGGATTTAGGTCTTAGATTTTCTTTACGTTCTCCCTTGAAGTGCGTACAATTTGACGCACCTTTGCGGATGGAAAGTCAAATTTCCGAACCACAACGACACGTAAAATTATAAAATGATATTCGCATAAAACATGACAATGGCTGCCAATGATTTTTTATAAGTGTATTAATGCAACAGCTCTTGACAGATGTCTAAACAAATATCTAACATGCAAAATCTAAACGAATCGAAGGCAGACTTGAAAAATAATTACAATACGGAAATAACTGAAAAATACGATATGATTATAAGCGTGCGTCGCAATTATTAGAGAAGACAAATGGTCATATTCATCTTGTTAATGAAGACGGCCTACAGATGCGGAAAATGAAGACATTGATGTGGAGACATGCAGAAAATTGTAAAAATAATATCGGTACACGAAAAATAAAGACTAAAAAATATACAGTACATTTATATCTATTTCCGCGTTATTAAAAAAAAAAAAAAAAGAAATAAAATTTTATAAAATATACATACAAATCAAACAACTAAACTACTGCTGTATGATAAGAAACACTAACAAAACAAATAATTAAATGAAGAAGTTGGCGACATTATCGCATTTTTGAAATCAGTAAAAATTAGGCAAATTGAATGTTTAAAAAATCGATGTAAAAAAATTATTTATAATGTAGACACTTTTTTGAAAGTGTTTTTACTTTTTTAAACGAAAAAACGAAAAAGCCAGGTATTACACTATAGTGAAATGAAACGTGAGAAATGAAGAAAAAATAAAAATAAAAAAAATAAAAAACAGTAACAATTGTGTACAACGAAAGAGCGAAGTAGCACGCTTGAATAATCATTAACAGGACTACCTGAACACGGCTCTGACCAAGCGACAGAGACGTGAGTTTTTTAATAATCATCGAGGTCGACGTCATCGAGAGGCTCATCAGCCTGTAATGACTGGAAGTCGACTTTGTAGCGGAGGATTCCTATACGCCGAAACACTCTTATATTAAACATTTGGTCGTTTTAATTTTTCGTTGTCTTAAGGTGACACTTTTTTTTGTCTCAATATATATTTTAGGATCATCCAATTTATTTACAAATTTTAACCAGTAAAATTTTTTTTTAATTTTTGATACATCGGAAGAATAATTTAAATAAGTATTCACCTTAAGATTCCAGGAAAAATATGTACTATTCAACTAGCCATAATTAAGATTATGCAAAGTAAATATAATTATATTATATAAGCTAGATAATAAAGATATGTTTTGCTTAAGTAATACTAACTCACCTCCAATACCCCCAAAGCCTCTAACGAATTGCGATCCTTCTTGAGACTTGTCCGTAATAATTTCTAATGTCGCACCGAAACTCTTGTAGTTATTTGCAAGCCACTCAAGTAGTGGTTGACACTCCACCAATTCTAACTCAACCCCGCTCTGAAACAAAATGTTTGAGATAAGTAAACAAATCTTGTACGTTTTTGGATAAAATCCAGTAGATATTCACCTCTTTGTCTGTGAAGTGTGACTTGTCTTTTTCCTGTTCCGGCGTTAGATGTAAGACTTTTTCTTCACTACTCGTATGATTCTTTAACACGTATCTCTGGATGTCGAGATTCTCCCAACAAATTAAGGTTTCTACACTACCTAATTCAAGAGCTCTCAGGGTATCTTCAACGCCAAAACAGTACTTTCCCGTGTCTTGAGAAATCTCATCAAAGTAACGGCCTGATTATAAAAGTTCGTGCATCAATTGGGCGCACTCACAACTTTGGTTTGAAAATCAAGAAAATAGTTATTCAACATACCAATAAGTTTCTTTTCTTGGATGAACTTGACATTTTGCAGCGATTCGGCAGCTAATTCGATTGCTTGATTGAATCCATTTTCACCACCATACGAAACATCGACTAGTTTTATAACTTTAGTTTGCAATCTCTGTGTAATAAAATCTCTTCAGTAGGTCATGTTTTTGTAAACATTAAAAAGTAATCCACAATAGCTAGTCAAGTAGTTAAATGAGCACAAAATGTGTGTCAACTTACGGGATCAAACATGTCCGATTGACTAAGCTCCGTTTTGAAATCGGCACTACCAGCAAGTATCAAACCAGCAATGTTAGGTTTGTCATTGGATATAAAGAGCTGCGTCGCCACTTCAGCTACTTTCCGTACGTAATTGTGACGTTTTTCCATTCGCAATCGAGCAAAACGAAGAGCGGACTGACCTCCTCTACCTATAAATAGTCAATCGATGAACAAAATTGAAAAATTATGTAATTTGATAAATAAAATTTAATGTTACTGTATTCCGCAGTCTTACTGTTCGGATGAGTAATGATACTTATTGAGAATAAAAAATAAATCATTTTTATAAAGAAATCAAAATAACTTTAAACTAATAGTAACAATAATTATCTGTGTAGTAGCAAGTCCGTTGATTAAAGCTTTGAGAAAACATTGATTGCGAGTAAAAATTATTTTAAACTGGAAAAAATAAATATACTGATTCAAAAAAACAATCGTGCAAAATTAGAGCCAAGAGAAGAACTATCCAATTAGGGGTCAAGTTAAACAATTTAAAGCATCTTTGATGTTGAGAGTCTTTCATAAGGAGATAGTATTGTATTCTTATAAGAAGAAAGTTGGAGGCCTCACCATGTTTTTTCGGTAAATCAACTGTGAATTTGTGCAGAACTTCTCGTGTGTTTCCTTGTAGAGTACCAAAAAGCGCACCATTACCATCCATAACAATAAAACCAAATTTGTTGTCGTCTGCCAGCAACGCCGTCAACGCTTCGGTGTGAAACTAAAAAAATAATGTAGTGAATGAAAAAAAAAAAAATAATAATAATAATAATGAAAATAATCAATTGATTACAAAATGATGTGTGTACCTTATTGTCACAGAGATAAAGTGAAGTGTTAATAGGTTTAAATGGCTCAAAATCAATGTTAACTTTCTTTTCTTTCCCTTCTTCAGTAACAATTGTACCACAGTAAATAACCAGGCCATTTGGAGGTACTGCAATGCAGACAAAAATTTCATGAAAAGAATGCGATAGTCAAGGTTAATTTTCATTATCAAAACTCGAAACAGTTATATTAAAAATAATAAATGCAATTTCAAGTTATAATACTAAATTAAAATTATACCTTTGGTATATAATTTTAGTCTGTGTTGTACTGATGTGATGGCACCAAGGACGGATAGTCTGTTCACTCGAGACTTGATATTTGATGCTGTACCAAATTCATCAGCCAACATTTTACTGACTCTGGAGATTTGATCTTTTGGCGGAATGATTAGTGAAATCATACTTGTACCATTCCTAGAAAATAATGCAATGTGTTTAGAAACAAAAACCTTATACACTTGTACCTAAACTAAATTGGTGAATTCTACATTGAGTAAGTTTGTTCAATGCATGAGATTTCAAATTTAAAGACTAGAAAAAATCTGTACTAATAAAAACTGAAGATTTATAGTCTACTAACTCGATATCTCTACAACGCGGACTCAAATGGCCAATTAAACCACTTAAGTTTTTTGACGCCATGAAGTTTGGCAAAATGTGAGTATTTCAATGAGTGTGAGCATGGAGCAATCATCATTTTCATCAAAAAATCAGGCTATGATGTTTCAAGTGTTCTTGAATGACTTTAATCTTTAAAAAAATGTTTTCCCTCTTTTTATAGGCAAATTCTACTTGAAATAGTAATATAATAATTAAAAAGCTAGCCGATTGTCTAAAAAATATACAAGAAAAAAAGTATCGATTACAACGCGGTAGACTACTACCTTGGAAGTAGCCACACAGAATGATCGGAATTCCTCACACACAAATACACCTTGCACACGAGCTTGATCAATGCTGCCAAAACAGCCAGACAGCAGCGATCCACAACCTAGTCCCTAACCCCACATCGCGTTGACTCCACGTGCTTCCACCCAGACGAGTATTTGCCAGAATTCTCGACCGAACTCCTTAAACATATGGCACTGGCGAGTTTCACTTCTCCAATGCGACAAAAAAGATCCAGCCATATGCACCAATGTCCCCTGATAAATCGAAACAGAGAACGCTTTTGACTCACCCCCTGGCCATCTCCAAGCTCTTGATGAGCTTCTTGATCTTCCAGATCTCGACGTTGCGGTCGGCGGAGGTCTCCGGATTGTTGTCCGACATCCTGGCTGCTGGTTGTTGCTGCTGCTCCGCAACACGCACACGCACCTCTAACTTTTACCACCCACGCGCGAAGAGTACTTGGCGTATGTGTACAGTCCCGTTAAAGCAAGAAGTCCCGCTCTACTGCTCTGCTGGACTGCTGGTGCTACTGCCTGCCCCTCTGCTTTGAATCCCACCTCCTCCGCCTTTTCAGATTTTGTTTCGCTGATATGACGGCTCTCTCTCTCCCCCTCTGCAGTCTCCTCTCGCTCTACACTCTGCTATTTGGAAGCTGGGACAGCGGGGGTGCGTGTGTATAGTTAGGTACGTCTCGGGACAGTCGGGACTCCGAACTCACTTTTGAAAATATGGACCACACCTCCAGTCTTCCACCCTCCTTAGCACAGACTCCGTCTTCTCTCGTTCGTTTTCCTGCAGTACACCAAACACCACCAATAATCTAAGGTGTACACTTGTGTGCCACCGCGCTCTCGCTGACTTTCCTTCCGCCTTTTCTCTCTCCTGTTTTCGTGTGCGCAGAGCGAGTCTCAACTCGGAACGAACGAGCTCAACTAAGATCCAAACCTGCAAATTTATATCAATTAAGTACTTGTATTATTTATATACTTGTGTAAAGAAAAGGCCATCGACATAAAATTGTTATTTTTTTTTATTTTTTTTTCATTTAGGTATACCTACAACAATTTATTAATGTGACGACTTTTTACACGAGCATAATTAAGCGTGTACACATAAGGTCTGTTCGAGTATTCAACAGTAATGTCATTTAAATGTACAAATGTACATATATGTATATACATATGCATATCCACACATCATGTCACACTACACTACTAAGTACTAGGTACTCTACATAAATGTTCCAATACATGTGCTTATTGTAAAAAAGGTGAGAACGAAAAAAAATGAGCAAAAACGAAACGTTATTAACGATTAATGGTGATGTAACGGTGAAAGTAGACTCTCACCCTATGATGAAGTAAAATAATTATTTAAAAAATATTGTATTTTAAATGGTGATAAACAAAAAAATTTTTTGGCAAAATAAATACATTTTATCAAGAAAAATTTATCCTGTTCAATAGTCACGTTTTTATTGAGTGTTCTTATTTTCATTCAAAACGTGAGATATTACCAGTGCGTGTAAAGAAATGCAATTTTTATTACGTTTCTTCTCCTTTGATTTTTCGCCAGATAAAGGACCACGAAAATGTGAATAACTGTTAGTGTGTAATCGAATACAGGATGGAAAATTTTACCAAACGCTTTTGCCAAAAGATCTTTCTACGGAAAAATTAAAAAGTTCTCAACAATCTTTTAAGAAAAATGTTACTAAGTAATATCAACTCGAACCTAAAGAGTTTTTCAGCTTAGTGTCTGTTTTTTTTCGACTGATTTAATATTTCCTTATCGAAATATATTTTTTTTATTATGTACATTTGAATAAAACAAAATGAAATGATTTTGAACAATCACCCCGACTCAACTAATTTACGTGAAAATAAAAAAAAATAAATAAAAATACTTATAACGCTAAAAACATAGTAAAATAAAATCATATAACGCGTACTGTAGACTATATTCATGTAAATATTACAAGTGTACATACACATGTACGCAACGTGGGCAATTCTGCGCGCATCTGCCTTATTTGAATGATGAACCAACATTATGCTACTCGAAATCTATACATAAATGCAACATTTAACAACTGATCGGAATTTTTTTCCCCACAATAAGTATCGTCGAACTTGCAAAACTAAAGAGTAGCAATCATATAAAATATTGTTATCGACACGTTTGAAAGCTTACAAAAAGCTGTCAAATTTTATGCAATAAAAAAAAAATACTTATGAAAAACCAAAAATCTAATAAATTGTAAGATGCGCAACATCACTGTCAATTACGCTAATTACTTTTTATTTTTTTTGCTACTTAACAAAAAAATATCTTATCCGTATGTTGCCACTCGAAAAATCTGCGAACGAAAGCTGATAGACGAGTAGAAAATCCGCTGAACCTAAAAATTGATATCCAAGGGGTCGTTTTTGATATAGTACGTAATTCAATGCGTAGATTACGAAATAAATAGTTAAAAACTCGAAAGCTCTCTTGAATAGCGTAAAAATAGCGTTTAAAATTTGTTTCGCTTATATCTCATTAACGGTAATAGATCGAACGAAAATAAAAATACCAGCGTGTAAAGCGGAAAATTTCCTATCAATATTATCTTTTAGTTTTGTTCGGACCAACACAAAATTTTAAGATAAAAAATATCTAATGTATATTCGTCCAATATGCCATGAGAGCGCGTGGACAAGCAGCTGAATGCTCCGACCGACCGACCTACACCGACGATTGTCGGCTGCTCCTTGCATGAATATAGGTGTATACGTGATCATATGTGTGCACTGTGCAGTATCCGGCGGATACTATGATATAGTATTACTATCCGCATCTATACTTACACTAAAATCAGAGTTTCGAACTTTTTGGAGTCAGAGAGGAATGAGGCTTGAAGAGCAACTCTTTATGTATGAAAAATATGTTGTTAAGGTAAATGTCCCTATTGTGAGACAGGGTTAAGCGTACTAAAAAGTAAATTGAGCTATTCAAAACCAAAAAATACATAAAGTGGGAAATTTTTTGTATTATAATGTAAAATGACGTGCTCTAGCAGTAAAAAATTTATTTTAATGTATAAATAAGATCGCAATAATAATTTAATTTGAAATAATGGAGAAAAATATGAGGTACCGATTAATGGCACATCAAAAAATAGCATGGCCCAGTTGTCCCACTCAGTTAGTCCCGGTTTATGGGACATACAAAAACTGTTATGTTTAACCTACCTTGATAAAAAAAATTATGTGAATAGCACTATAATATAGAGCAATATAATATAAAAAAAAAAAGACCTATAGGTATTACGGATTCTACTGCCGCAATCCGGTGCAAACTGGATCTCTTCGCGCGCGCACAGCACCACTATCCTGGCCAAAGTACGAAGTTGTACCTGCCAACGTCGTCTTATACAGATTTTCTTTTTATTTTCTTCGTGGTCCACAGTCTGTTATTAATTTCCTCGACTTAATTTCAACTTTTACAGTCATAACAGCTATAAATTTACTTTTGAGTGCGACCTCAGCGGAGATTTATGTACAAGAAATATGTTGAGTTAGAGAGCATCAGGGGTGGTATTCCGTAACTTTTCGAGTAACTTTTTTCACTGTGTTAGCTTATGTTGTAGCATAGGCTGATGCACAGCAAACTAGTTACGGAATACCACTCCTGAGAGAAAGTGATTTAAGTAGGTAATATGTTATAAGTACTCACGTGTCTTTTCGCTAGCGCCTGGCGACGAGGTCGCTTACGCTGACACTGTAATAATATACCCCAGACCCCAGTAACATATGCTTAAAACCATGGTAAAATAAAACAAGATAGGCCCACGCGCATGTTTACATGACCAAACCAATCGGAGAAGGAGCCTGTATGACGTCATAATCAGCGCTAAATTCAAATTGTATGTGTATAAATGAACAGCAAGCAACAAAGTGTTTTCGTTATTTATTGAGAAGGTGAGTGTTGATGGTCACTGTTACTTAAAAATAAGAAGTACAACGTCGGACTTGTAAAAACGACTGACCTGTTCAAAAAATTTTTTAAACTATAAGTTATAAGTTACGAAAGAGAAATGTATTAACTCTTCAAAAAATTTTCAAAACTTATTGAAAACACTAAGTTATCTGATTTGTTTTTAAGATATACAAAATTTTCCTTACATTTTTTAAATTTTATTATTGCTCATGAACTAATTATTACAAGTTAACTGCATTTTTTTACTTTGTATTATACATTTACTTTATGTTAGTTCAGTCTAGTCAGTTTATGTACAAGTTTTTATCATGATACTCCATTCCATTCGCTGTTACTAGGGTGAGATTACATGGACAAAAAGAATATCCTACACTTGTCAAATTCATGTTTAAACTTGACGTAAGACACGAGTAAGACAAGTTTAGGATATTCTTTTAACATGATTTAATATTTAGCACAAAATACATATTCAAATTTGGTACCCAGTTATAACGTCATACAAGGCTCCTGCGCGAACTCGGACAAAAATTGTCTGGATATAAGTGAGCCTACTTTGTTTAATTGTACCATGCTTAAAACCTAAAAAGCTCAAGTCCTAAAGTGCTCTCTCTGTCACAACGAATTACGAAACGAAACAGAACGATCATAACCGAACTACTGGACACTGGACCCCAAACCCAATACATGAGAGCTACTATAAGTACCGAGCGCTCCGATCACGTTAGTCAAACAAATCTATGATGAACATGTCATTAAAGACGTATCTGCAGATCTGTCTGTAATGACATGTTCAATGGCAAAATTATTTTCCAAGTGAAGTAACCATTTAACTATTTATTTTACTTTAACTTGTATATAATATTTTGTTTATTAAAAGCACATTCTAACGACTAAATTTATAAAATTGTGAATTGCTACTGGCAGGAGTGGCAGGACTGGACTGATCTATTCTAAAAGAATGACTGTCACGTGACTGTCGACAGAATACGCCGTGATCTGATTGGTTGTGAGGGACGAAAGGCGGTACATTTAACTGTACATGAGATTTAAGTAGACAAGCGCTGGTTACATCTAGCGCCCTATACAGGCCAATCGAGGTCGTTTTATTCGTTTGAGCTTAGATTTTTTGTTAAAATTTAATCATTCGATTTAGATTAAATAATTATTAGAAATATATTTAATCAAAAAAGTTTGGGGGGTTGGCGCGCGGAGCGGGCAGGGGGCGAAGCCTCCTATCTATATTCATGTAAATATTACAAGTGTACATACACATGTACGCAACGTGGGCAATTCTGCGCGCATCTGCCTTATTTGAATGATGAACCAACATTATGCTACTCGAAATCTATACATAAATGCAACATTTAACAACTGATCGGAATTTTTTTCCCCACAATAAGTATCGTCGAACTTGCAAAACTAAAGAGTAGCAATCATATAAAATATTGTTATCGACACGTTTGAAAGCTTACAAAAAGCTGTCAAATTTTATGCAATAAAAAAAAAATACTTATGAAAAACCAAAAATCTAATAAATTGTAAGATGCGCAACATCACTGTCAATTACGCTAATTACTTTTTATTTTTTTTGCTACTTAACAAAAAAATATCTTATCCGTATGTTGCCACTCGAAAAATCTGCGAACGAAAGCTGATAGACGAGTAGAAAATCCGCTGAACCTAAAAATTGATATCCAAGGGGTCGTTTTTGATATAGTACGTAATTCAATGCGTAGATTACGAAATAAATAGTTAAAAACTCGAAAGCTCTCTTGAATAGCGTAAAAATAGCGTTTAAAATTTGTTTCGCTTATATCTCATTAACGGTAATAGATCGAACGAAAATAAAAATACCAGCGTGTAAAGCGGAAAATTTCCTATCAATATTATCTTTTAGTTTTGTTCGGACCAACACAAAATTTTAAGATAAAAAATATCTAATGTATATTCGTCCAATATGCCATGAGAGCGCGTGGACAAGCAGCTGAATGCTCCGACCGACCGACCTACACCGACGATTGTCGGCTGCTCCTTGCATGAATATAGGTGTATACGTGATCATATGTGTGCACTGTGCAGTATCCGGCGGATACTATGATATAGTATTACTATCCGCATCTATACTTACACTAAAATCAGAGTTTCGAACTTTTTGGAGTCAGAGAGGAATGAGGCTTGAAGAGCAACTCTTTATGTATGAAAAATATGTTGTTAAGGTAAATGTCCCTATTGTGAGACAGGGTTAAGCGTACTAAAAAGTAAATTGAGCTATTCAAAACCAAAAAATACATAAAGTGGGAAATTTTTTGTATTATAATGTAAAATGACGTGCTCTAGCAGTAAAAAATTTATTTTAATGTATAAATAAGATCGCAATAATAATTTAATTTGAAATAATGGAGAAAAATATGAGGTACCGATTAATGGCACATCAAAAAATAGCATGGCCCAGTTGTCCCACTCAGTTAGTCCCGGTTTATGGGACATACAAAAACTGTTATGTTTAACCTACCTTGATAAAAAAAATTATGTGAATAGCACTATAATATAGAGCAATATAATATAAAAAAAAAAAGACCTATAGGTATTACGGATTCTACTGCCGCAATCCGGTGCAAACTGGATCTCTTCGCGCGCGCACAGCACCACTATCCTGGCCAAAGTACGAAGTTGTACCTGCCAACGTCGTCTTATACAGATTTTCTTTTTATTTTCTTCGTGGTCCACAGTCTGTTATTAATTTCCTCGACTTAATTTCAACTTTTACAGTCATAACAGCTATAAATTTACTTTTGAGTGCGACCTCAGCGGAGATTTATGTACAAGAAATATGTTGAGTTAGAGAGCATCAGGGGTGGTATTCCGTAACTTTTCGAGTAACTTTTTTCACTGTGTTAGCTTATGTTGTAGCATAGGCTGATGCACAGCAAACTAGTTACGGAATACCACTCCTGAGAGAAAGTGATTTAAGTAGGTAATATGTTATAAGTACTCACGTGTCTTTTCGCTAGCGCCTGGCGACGAGGTCGCTTACGCTGACACTGTAATAATATACCCCAGACCCCAGTAACATATGCTTAAAACCATGGTAAAATAAAACAAGATAGGCCCACGCGCATGTTTACATGACCAAACCAATCGGAGAAGGAGCCTGTATGACGTCATAATCAGCGCTAAATTCAAATTGTATGTGTATAAATGAACAGCAAGCAACAAAGTGTTTTCGTTATTTATTGAGAAGGTGAGTGTTGATGGTCACTGTTACTTAAAAATAAGAAGTACAACGTCGGACTTGTAAAAACGACTGACCTGTTCAAAAAATTTTTTAAACTATAAGTTATAAGTTACGAAAGAGAAATGTATTAACTCTTCAAAAAATTTTCAAAACTTATTGAAAACACTAAGTTATCTGATTTGTTTTTAAGATATACAAAATTTTCCTTACATTTTTTAAATTTTATTATTGCTCATGAACTAATTATTACAAGTTAACTGCATTTTTTTACTTTGTATTAGACATTTACTTTATGTTAGTACAGTCTAGTCAGTTTATGTACACGTTTTTATCATCATACTCCATTTAACTCGCTGTTATTAACATGATTTAATATTTAGCATAAAATACATATTCAAATTTGGTTCCCAATTATGACGTCATACAGGCTCCTGCGCGAACTTGGATGAAAATTGTCTGGCTAGTGAGCCTAGCTTGTTTTATTGTACCATGTTACCGTCTAGTGCGCAGTAATTGGTGCTTGCACCGTAGTTGGGTCATTTCCCCCTACATAGGAAAAGGTGACATAGAAAAAGAGAACGATTTTTACTATGTTGTTTCAAAAACTTTAAAGAGATCAAGCGACGTTTTGTATCAGACATTATTTACGTGATCGCACCTTAGCTGTAACAGAGGCCCAGCTTAGCACGTATTACAGCCATTGTTACACGGAAAAAAAATTAAACAGTCGTGATATGAATACCTTCTATACGTCAACAATATGAAAGAAGTCATGCGTAACACGCTTCGATTCACATAATTACGATGTGGGATTCAGCTAGAGACAGTATAAGATGTGCTAAAACGAATATAACATGGTCTGCTAGCACATACACTGTGACACATACGGGAGTAGCGCATAGAGCCCACGCGCAAAGCGTTTCATGTGTACTTACACTGATTTTGAGTGAGAGCTACGCATGGCATGCACTACAGGCAACTCAGAAATTCTACATCTCGTACATGCTTTCGGTTGTTGCAGCGGGTTGGTGGTTTTCACCGTACTCATATTTAGATATAAATTATCTATTGATTTATGTATATATTATTGTAAATTCAAGACCTATAGTAAAGTAAGCGGATAAATAATTTGCATACGTCACCATGACAACATAACCTTAATAATTTGAAATAATTTAAACTAATCCACACATAATTCATTAGATATATATGCTCTGTTCTACTTTTAACTACTATTAATTGTAATAATCNTACAGCGGTCTTCGTTAATCTGATAAATAAATTACACATTTATGTATATGTTACCATAACCTACATTTGTCAAGCATAGGCAATAATGTACTTACAGATAATTCTACTTTGTATAGATTTAAGCTGACAGATGTTTGTCTCACAACATAGCAATTGATCAGATGACCGACTCGTTTATTTACATATTCCTGTACGTAGGCAATGTGCCCACTCTCTACTAATTTTTTAGCTTTTTTCAGCGTTTCATTATTAAAAACTATGTTGCAACTTATACTTTTAAAGCCT